CACTAGCAAAACTCAAGAATAACCGCTGAGTGTGGTGGTGTGAGCCCAGCCTCTGGGAGACTGAGGCTGACCTGGGGAAGTAAGTAATACACCATCTCAAAATAAAACAATAACAACAGCAGCAAAGAATAGGATTCTTTCTGCAAACCATTCTCTGGGAGAAGAAATGAAAATTAAACTGCCTGTGAAATCAGAAAATTGACCTAAAATGTTTTAGGCATCCTCTCCTCCAAGGATTAAATAAAGCCCTTATACTTGGTAAAGGAAGCCCTTTTGATGTACCGACTCATTTTCATTTTAGAGTTCAGCCCTCAAGTCTTGAAGAGCAACTACAGTACCAGGGTGAACAATCCCCAAAATCATGCTGTTGAATGAATCAGGAAGAGCTTTCTAGGACAGGCAAGAAAATATTCTGGGACAAGTTTAACCCTCCAATTTGTCCTGGTTCAGGAATTTTGGAGGTTTGTCTGTGAGCTTCACTTGTTTTTCCTGCATTTCCACACTGATTTTGGTGACACTTCGAGGATGAGCTGCAGTTCCATAGGGTTCTCTGTCCCATTACAGAGCAAGGCACACAGTCCTCACATAAGGCCCCCACCTTCATGACTCTGAAAATAATCCACAGGAGGGGCCACAGCACGGTTAGAGATAAACACACAACAGAGGGGCCAAATCCCTCCACCCAGGAAACCAGTACACTCTATTCACGCTGAATAATCTCACTTTTTCCTTTCTTAAGAATAACCTCCATTTTTATGCCACTTTTGTTAATTCCAAATACTCCACACAACAGACAAAGTCCCGGAGACCATCTGCTACCCTGAGTGGGGGGGGGGTGCTGAGAGGAGACAGGAGCAGTTCAATCCTTGGATAAAAGATAGTCTGATAATAAAGATTCTTTGCTGAAGGCACAAATGTACCTGTCTGCGATTTGTTAAAAACTGGCACGTTGTAGTGGCGTGTGGCATGATCTTTCATGAGTGAGTGTGGTGCAAGGCCTCAGGATGACTCCCCACAGGGACGGCAACAACACATTAACAAGGCGAGGGGCAGTGGGTGGGAGGCGGGAGGCTGAGGCCATGAGGGCAGCCTCTGACCCAGCACCACCGAGCTCGGAGGAGATTTTCTGGAAGTGGAGGAGGGAGGAACGGGAAGCCCCGACTCCCATTTTGCTTCTTCCTGATTCTTGGGTGACTGGGAAAGTTCATTTGCTGTGTTTCCCCTAGTTTTATCTTCATCACAGGCACCTAAAGGAAGACCTGGTCAACTCCAAACACCTTGAGGAAGCCACACACGTAAGTGTGAGGGGAAATCGTGCAGGGGGAGACACTGCTGCCTTGACATTTGCCCTCCCCTTAGGGCACAGAGATACCCAGGCGCTGGTCATGAGGGGTGCTCTCCTTCACTCCCTGCTGTCTCCGAGGATCGAGCTCCCTCCAGTACCAGCCTCCCTCACAGCTCAACTCCTCTGTATGCCTGATCCTCAGCAGCTCCGAGTCCTTCACGAACATCTATGGAAGGCTCAGCACACTGTCCTGGGCTTCAGGTCTCTTCTATATCAGACCTGGGCTCTTCTCAGCTTCAGGTGCCCCATTCCCTGGTTTGCCCAAGGGCACCAGGTTAAGTGAAAAGTACTGAATGAACAGAAGTTTTTATTCATTGGAGCCCATGCCTAGAAAAGGAATCTTGCTTGAAAAGTAGAACAGAGAGAAAGCAATTCTTTGGAAGGGTGGACAATGTTCAAATGCTATTCCAATGCACACTTCTCTCTGTCTATAGAGATTTAAAACAGGGCTTACCACACTTATGGCAACACCACTGTGGCAAAAACAAAGAACCTTGGCCTTCAAGTATTTCTTTTGGACCAACTTTCCAGCCCTTTCAAGTCATCCCATCAGCCCCTAAGAAAAGACAGCAGTGGAGTTCTCTTGTAGTCTTCATTACTCTGTCACCCATGATTTCTCGTCTTTGGACTCAAATCCCCCTTCTCCCCTTTCCTGTCAGATGTTTTTCTTTACCTTGGGCCCTAAAGAAATCTGGCATGAAATCCATACCAGGAGTCTCATTCTATTCTTTCATGACTTGCTGGTCCATACTTGGGTCGGGCACATACTATCACTTGCTTGTGCATTGGGTCCCCTAAGCTCCTAGAGGGCAGGGGCTGCAGTCTTGTGCTTCCTTTGAAGGCATTTAGTCAAGTATCCTCTACAAAGAGGCACTCAAAAATCCTTTCTAATTACTTTTTTTGGAGTGGTACTGGGAATTGAATCCTCACATGTTAGGCAAACACTCTTTTACTAAGCTATACCCTCAGAACCTCACCCCTCCCATTTTTTGAATAGGGGTTTACTAAGTTGCCCAGGCTGGCCTCCAACTTGAGATCCTCCTGCCTCAGCCTTCCAACTATGGGAATTACAGATGTATGTTACTACACCCAACACTTTAACAACCTTCTTTCATGATCATAATCAGATTCTACTTTACATCCCATAACATCTCTTCCTCTTGCTTTATACCCACTTCTTGTCACCCATTTTAGGACATGGGAACATCTATAGGCCTGGCCCTGGCCTTCACTCCTGACCACAGAGCCACTTTCTGCTTTCCACTTTACTGGCACACAGCTGTCCTGCACTCAGTGCTGACATGTTTCAGAGTTCCCTAGACTTAAACCGCCTCAACTTTACAAATGCAATGAGCCTGCTTTTTCTCAGTGACCAACGGTTTACCTCCAAGATAAATGAGCATGATCAATGCCCCCCTCTAATATATAGGCAGTGACCTTTCTCTCTGTATAATACAAAGAGCCCTCTTTTATTATCCTTTGCAACCTCAGTACCTAGCAAAATACTGGCAGACCTGCATCTCTGTATGCAACACAACTAAATACTGGGCATCTCTACCTTCCTAGCTGACCTCCTGTCTCCACGTCTACCTCTCTATGGCCACAGTCCACACAGCACTCAGCAATCCTTTCAACATCTAGGTCAGATCATTTATTCTGAGAGCAACACCTCAAGTCCTCAACACGGCCTACAGGGTTGCGTATGATGGCCCCTAGTGACCTCTCTGAATTTGTTTTGCCCACTTTTCCTTTTCCCTAACTCCAATGCCAGTCACACTGGTCTGTGCCTCCCTCGTGTATGCCAAGTGCACCCCATCTCTCGGTGCCTTTGCTCTGGCTACTACCAAGTGGCTCCCTCTTCTCCCAGTGTTCAAGTCTCTGTGTGCACAGAACTTTATGAGAGGGGCTGCCTGCTCTCCTCTTTTCCACAGGATGCACCACCACCCAAATGACACGCTTGGTGAGCGCTGTGTTTTCCGTCCTTGCCCTCACGCCCCACCCTTCGGTAGATGTACTCTAGGACAGCCAGGAGCTGAGTCCTTGCATTCGTCCATGCAGCGTGGCATGACAGGGGCTCGACCAAGATGGATAAGAAGGGATGAACGTGAAAGGCCACATGCGTCCCACAGCTGAAACCCACTAGCGACGCCCTGACAGTACTGTAAACCTCTGTGCTTTGTGCCACGCGAGGGTCCATCCCCGTCTCAGTCACACACGGCACACCTGTGTCACGAAAGGAAAGGAAAGGGCACAATGGGCAGCAGCAGAGTGGTACAGTCAGTCTGGAAAGCAGCTCCGAGATCTTATTTTACAGATGGAGGAGCTGAGGCCGGTCCAGGGCCATCTAGGAAAGCAGTGGCAGAGCTGGCGCTGCAGTCTAGGCCTCCAGTCCAGAATTCTTAGCTCTACACTATGTGACTTCTTAGTTATTCTGTACCTGGTCACTTATAAAATACAGGAAATGACAATTATTTAAAATACACAAAAGGAAATGATATGGTGGCAAGGCCCCAAGTCCCACAGATCAAAGGCACTGCTTTCCCCAAAAACAAGCTAATGGAACAAGCCCTTCAGGACTCCGTGGGAGACAGTGCTGAGTTCTGTTCCCCATTACGGTAACTTCTCAGCAATGCACATGTACCGTATCTCTTCTTAGCCTCCCTTTTGTGAGAAGCAGGAGAATATGGTTTAATAAACAATGAACACTTTATTGTTTTCTTTCTGCCATGCAGGTAAAGTCCGAAGATATTTCCTTACAAATATGATGGCACTCATGCATTACATAAAGCGCAGGAAAAGTGTCTGACTAAAGGAAGGGTAGTAACACTGTGACTGCAACTCTCATCTGTGAAGAGTCCACTCTACTTTTTAAAAAGTCTTCTTTTATCTAAGTCAGTGGAATTGAGAAATAATTTTTTAAGCCCTGGTAAGTACCAGCATTCTGTACTTCCAATTAGGCCAAATTTCCTTGTGATATAAGTCATATGTCATTCTACAGACATCTCAGGACAGAGTCCTAGTGGGGCTACACCTAGCAATTAAGATAAAGTCCATTCTAAATACAGCGATGAAGAGTAACGATATCAGTCATGCTATACACACACATCCCCACTCCAATCCCACCACCCACCCCACATATCCATGTATCATGACTATATTGGGGTGAGGCGGCTTCAAGCAAACATATAGAACTTACACATCCAAATGAGCTGCACCTTTGACTGCTGCCATCACCTCTGGGCGTTATACGTGCATCCCAAGGCCATCATCCAGCACACAGCATTTTTTTGGAGTCTTGCCTTTGGGACACAGGCTTCCCAGATTCAGTGAGCATAAAGATCACCCGGGAGATATGTGAGGTACGTGGATCCTTAGAGGTTCCATTTAACTGACCCTGGATGGGGTCTGGGAAATCTGTTTTATAGCAAGCACTTCAGAATCTGTTTTATACACGTGAACAGTAGTGCTTCAGAATAACCCAGACTTGGTCCATAATCACAAAGGGTACCAGGGTAAGGACTTTAGAGTCAAACCCTGTACACACACATGTAACACAATGAAAATGTTATTCTTTCAAAATCTCCACTCGCCCCAATGGAATGTTAACAGTTCAAATATGCATAGAAGTGTCTATTTGTAATCAACAGCACTGTACCTCCATGAAAGAGATTCCTAAACTCCAGACATCAGAATGAATTCCATATTGCTCCCCTGAAATTCTTTCAGGCTGTAAGAAAGCAGAAGGGAATTTGTGAGTTGGTGAATTATTCCAGGAAACACGTACATTGAAGGTAAGCTCGGCTAAGGTGGGGGCCACCAACAACTTGGTGCAGAATTTTCTGGATGACAAAGCAATTTCACACACACACACACACACACACACGGATTACACAGAAAATACACAGAAATTATATATAATTAAATGTGTTTGTAAAAATCTCATCAAACTCTCTATTCAGCCCAAGTAAGACTTTATCATCCCATGTCACAGACGAAGAAAATTAAGACTCTAAGAAGTGAATTCATTTGGGCAAGGATCTAAGCTAGCAAACGAGCTGAGATTTGAGCCCAGATCTTCTTCCCCTACATGAAGCAGTCTTAATTAAGGAGTGACAAATTATACAAAATCATACAGTATTACCACTTATGTGCAATTTGATAGACTCAAAGACTAGGGATTTAGAATTTTAAAATACTCTTTCCTTGGAAACAATTTCAAGCTTATAGGGAAGTGGAAGGAATAAGACTAGTGCGAAGAACACTTGTATTTCCCTTACCTAGATTCACCTAGGGTCCCATGCTTTATTCTACCTACCAGGGTTTCTTTGGCTACAAGTCAAAGTGCCCTCTGAATGTTTGGTGCTCCTCTCGAGACAGATAAGAGGACAGGCACACTCTACTTCCACAGGAATAATTTTACGCTCAAAAGTGCGTTCTGATTTGCCCTCCCAGGATTTGGCATTCAGTAGGGTACTCACAGGAGTGTTTGGAATGAACACACGGACAAATGAGTAAGAGAAACTGAGGTCTCACAAAGATGGAATAATTGCTCCAGGTTATACAGAGATATCATGGCGGGCCTGGGATAATGACCCACATTACCCAACTCACTGGTTCAACAGATACTAGGATTATTCATATGGAACTGCAGCCAGAGATGGGAACAAGAGGACTACTGCCGTCCCATCCCATCCCCATCACTGCATGCTTTTGTTAGAGAACTGCCATGAGCCAGACATTGCTTTAAGTGCTTTTCATGTGTACCTCACTTCAGATTCACAAATATACATATGAGTTTGGTATTATCATCATCCCCACTTAACAGATGAGGAGAATGAGGCATTTACTACTGACCATATGAATCGCTGCATGTACTACCAGTACATAAGGACAGCAGTAGCTATCACTCAGTGACCACCCAGTAGTGCCAGATGGTGGGCCAGGTACTCTGCATCCTCCATGCTTCCTAATTATCTTGCAAAGGTAAAGGTTACGGGTTTCACTCTACAGATAGAAAGCCTGACACTTGCCCAAGCCTGGAGCTATGGAGCAGCATGAAGTGCACTGTCCAGGAGCAGAGTCAGGATTCAAATCCAGTTGTATATATGACTGAAAGATTCTTTCCAGGGTGTCAGACTGTGCCTGGAATTGAAAGTCAGAAAAGCCAAGCACCAGTCTTGACCTGGTGATTGTTTCTGCAATGCAGTCCTTGGACAGCCATCAGAGAACTGCCTGAGGGGCTTACCAAGACCAACTTCCGCATCAGAATAGGGGCAGGGGGTGGGCACTCTCAGGAATCTTCATTTTAAAAAAATAACTTCTCCAGGTGACTCTGATACACTCAGCTGCAGTCACTGAAGGTTTCACTATTCTTCCTTCCACCGGCTGACAGTCATCACTCTACAGCATACATCCAGAGTACAGAAAAAAGGAACACACAAACAGAAGTGGAAACCACACACAAAGTATTTTGGCAAGGAAACCAAATATATTCATTCCATTTGCCCACTGAACTACCAAGCAAATGTAGAATGCGAACTAAAAATAAAGCACAAGATACTAATTTAAAAAAGAAGAAACAGAAAAGGGATAATGTTCATAGGTATCAGGTGGCAAATAAGAGAGCTCCTTAAGGATGAGATTCTGACACTCTCTTGTTAGAGGGATTATTTGGGCAATAACCGAAGCAAAAAAACCGAGATCACTGTTGTGATGCAATGTAAAAGCAAAAATGCTCAGCACAAGCAGGCAGCAAGCTAAAAAGAATGCATCAGGTAGACAGAGACACGGAAACATACACAAGTTGCGACAACTGACTTAGGGACAAGATGAGCCCCAATATGTTCTGAATTTACAGGGCCAGGATTTGATGGCCTGTGACTACAGAATTCAAAGCTTGTTTCACACCTGAAGCCGAGGTGGCCTGCTCTGGCCTCTCCTCACCAAATCAAAACAGAACAAAACCAACCAAAATATCTGTGGTGGATCTGTGCTGGGGTTCCTTTCTCACACAACAGCTGTCAACAGTGTGGCCTAAACAATACGAACAGACTCTTGTCTGCAGCACCGCTGTACTGAGATTTAAATGAAGAGTAAACCAAACCAAACCAAACCCCTCGCCTGTCCTTCAGGGGAACAGCAGGCATGTGCTGATGATCTAAAATGCAGCATTCACAGTGGATCTGCAAAGGCTGTGGCTTCAAGCTGGCGCTCACGTGCCACTCCCTCCAGCTGCACCCTGTCACCGGGCATCTACTCAGGGTCCATATTTCACTAATCCTAGAACTGAGGGTTTACAGTATGACACGCCAGGGGTTTCCTGTCAAGAGCAGAAAGGTGCATACCTTATCTCTTCCGAAAAAGACATTTCTGCTTAGGTAAGCTTCAAAAAATTAACAAGACAGTGCCAACTTCTTCAGGCTAGTGTGTAATCAAAATATGCATCACAAGTGATTGAAATTTTTTTTTTCCAGTACTGGAGATTTAACTCAGGAGTTCTCTACCTGTATCTACGTCTCCAGCGCTTTCTATTTTTTTGAGACAGGGTCTTTTAAATTGCCCAAGCTAGACTTCAACTTGTGATCTTCCTGTCTCAGTACCTAAGGAGCTGGGGTTACAGGAACAGTATGCACCCCAGTTCCCAGGTTTGTTTTTTGTTATTTATTTTACTTTATTTTTTAGGTTAGCAAAATCCTTGTATAGGCAGCACGGCATATGGGTTAAACGAGGGCTCCAGAGTCAGACTACTGCTCTAATTCAGATCTATCTTCTCATTATGCGCTAATTCCAAGAACTTGGGCTCAATTTATTTCACCCTTGGTTTCTTTATCAGTACAACAGAGATAATGATAATACATAGGTTGTGTGAAGATTAAGTGAAGGTATGTAACTTTTTCACTCTGTATGTGTCACACAGGAATGCTCAGTAAACCCCAGCCTCCTTTAATTGCTACTTCTGTTGCTACTACACAGCATAATAGGGCCAGTTGGGCAGCAGCGTAAGATCTACATAGGTTTTATTTATTTATCTTGAGACAGGTTCTTGCTATATAGTTTAGGCTGGCCTTGAACCAGTATGTAGCTCAGGCTGGCCTCAAACTTGTGGCGATCCTCCTGCCTCAGCCTCCCAAGTGCTGGGATTAAAAGTATGGGCCACCATGCCTGGCCTATATAGATCTTATTCCAGGTAAAGACATTTCCAAGGATTGGAACAGCCTGAGCAAAAAAACTAAACACAGCAGCAACAATTCAGAAGATAAAAATAGTCATTTAGATTGAATTTCTGATCCCAAAGGATAAGTATTTGAGCAACATTTTTTTTAAAAATCAGTGAGTCATGAAAATTTCAAATTTTCATATTTGATTCTAAAACTTAACAACGTAAAGCAATGACTGAATAGTTTGTTAAAGTTTTAGGGACTTTTGTATTAAGAATAGAGTAAAAAAGGGCCGAGAATTTAGTTCAGTAGCACCATTCCTGCCTCGCAAACACAAAGTCTTGAGTTTGATTCCTGGTAACAAAAGCAAACAAACAAAAAATGGATAGAGTAAAAAAAACTTTCTTAAACTCCTATTTATTCTATTTGTGCATGTTTGCAGTTCATGCAATTTACAGTCATCTTGGGGAGTGGTTACAGGTACTTATCACAGCTTCTTTTTTTTTTTAATCCCTTCCCCTTTTCAGCTCCTCCCTCCCTCCTCCTCCAATTCTCCTATCCTATTTTTCATTGATTGATATTGTGTGGTTTTTTGAGACACTATGTAGTTGAGACTGACCTGGAACTCATTATGTAGCCCAGGCTGGTCTCGAACACACAGTGATCCTCCTGCCTCAGCCTCCTGAGTGCTGGGATTACAGGTGTGCGCCACCACGCCTGGCCTGATTGATATTCTTAATCTCATGTTAGGGCACATAATATTTACATTAATTGGGGTTATTAGGTTCTTGTACATGGTATAACTTCATTTAACTTATTTCTCCTTTCCTTCTTCCTCATCCCTTGAATATTTCCTCTTGGACCACTTCCCTACTGCAAGAGATCTACCTCCTAGTCCCCTTTGTTTTTTTATACAGTTTTTTAAATATGTGCCTGTGTTTTAATTTTACTGGTACATTTTAGATATACATAGATGATCACATTTGCATAGGGAATTTGTACCTGTACATGATATATCTTCATTCTTTTTTTCCCTCAATCTCCTCCTCTCCCTTCAACCCCTCTTCCCCTCCCTTATTTACAAAAACTGTTTCCATTTTTTCCTTTTTTTCTCTTCCTTTTTTCCCTTCTCCCCCCAAGAATAAAATTTTTAATAATTAAAATTTCTGAGAAATTGTTAATTTAATATAAACACCAGCCTTCTGGACACTTTACAATCTGTCTGGATGAAATTCTTCTTTTTTTTTTTGGTACTGAGGATCGAACTCCTGTCCTTGCCCTTGCAAGGCAGGCGATGGAACCATTGAGCTAAATCCCCAGCTGGATGAAATTCTTGTAAAATGCAGTCGCAAATTTGTCATGCTTTGGATGAAGGTGTTTATTAGACCTAATTATTTGTCCCTAAAAGGACATGTCCTTGAACAGGGCACTCTGCTTTCTAGATCTCTGTCTCTGATTGGTCAATGAGGGGGCTGGATCATGATGACTTTCCCGATCTCCTACAAACTACACTGCTTAATGAGCCCATAAGGGTTTTTTCTCCCCTAAGATGACTCAAGATGTTATAAAAGTCTTCCTATCTTTTTCTAATTGTCATTTTCCCTGCACCTTACATTTGAGGTTATAGGAGAATAAAATAACATTGTTTACACACACAGGGTTCTTTCTGATTTATTTTCTTTTTAATTACTTAAGCAGTTTAACCAGCTGTATTTGAGTAATTTGTTCAACTTAATACATACTGAAGAGTCTTAATAAAAAAGGTTAAATGCTCTGCTTATCATTAGTGAACATGACACTTTTGGAAGACAGCTGTCATGAATGAATGAATTCACTGGGCCCTGGTGGAGGAACAGGGCTGAGAGTGAGCAGAATAAACCTGGACCCGTGAGCTTGATCACCTAGACTGGAAGCGCCACATAAATGACTTGGATATAGGGAACAGCTCGGCCAGGAGTTTAGTCTCTGGAAGCAGATCACACAGTTTTGAATTTTCACCCTGACACTTATTAGCTGTGTCAACTTGGATAAGTCACATAACTTCTCTGGCCTTATTCTCTTTCCTCTGTAAAACGATAAGAACACTACCCCCTTCATAGCGTTGCTGTGATGATTTAAAGGTTAATACATGTAAGAGCTTAGAAGAATGATTGGCACATGGTGTTAATTAAGTGCGATCTGTTATTATTATTGATGTTATTATCACCACACAGAAGTATGGATGAGTATAAAGTGAGTGAAATGGATGGAAAATAAGGGTATTATTTCATTATATCAGATGGCCTCTAATTACATTTCCCTCAGTTTATCCTTCATCCTCCACCCCACCTCCACCAACACCAGGCTGCCTTCTGTTTCTGAGCGTTTGTCCTTCCTTGGTAAGCACCCTTTTTTGGGTAAATTTCCTCTTTATATCCTCTTTGGAATAATCGAATCATCACAGCTGCACATTGCATGCCTTTCTATTTTCTTAATGTATGTTAGTACAACTTAAAGATGTCACGCATAGCGCCATTGGAGAAGAGATCGTGGTTCCCATTTTGGCCTGGGCTGCTCAGTGGTGCTGGCTGATTAATGCAAAGTACTGTTTCCGATACAGCTTTCACTGGCATAGGCCACACGCTGGCAAAATTTTTTCTGTAAAGGGCCAGAGAGTAAATACTTTTCACTTTGTGAGCCATATGTTCTCTGCTGCAACTGTCACAACTACTCAACTCTGCACTATGGTCATACCCAACACGTAAACAAATGGCTGTGGCCACGTTCCAATAAAACTTTACTTAAAAAAACAGGCCTGAGAGATTTGGTTTGCTAATGCTTGGCATAGAACCTCATGGGGAACTCAAAACTCTGAAACAGATCAGCTAAAAAGAAATTCTGCTGTGGTTAAAAAACAAAACAAAACAAAACCACAAAAAATAAAACAAAAAAAAATCCACCGTGCACAAACTCCCCAAACCCAGCCCTCTTCCTTCAAGAGGCTGCCTGCAGTCACAAGGCAGAAATTAATACCCACACTACAGTAACACAGGGTTATTTCTATGGTCCCCAACCTCTGAGCTCACAAACCTTGGTAAATACTCAGCTACTAAATTAAGTGAAGCCTTGCTTTTACTCCCAGACCATCACTGTTTTCTTGCTGGATGTCTTAGGCTTTTTATAGCTCCAACTTACAAAGCTGATGAGGAGGATTCACTCACCCAAGAAGCAAAGCAATTTTAGGTTTGCCAGTGTGAGCTAACGTTTCATAATTCTAATCCTTACACTTTCAATTAACAGACAGACGCATCACATTCATCCATAAACAAAAAGGAAAAAAGTAATTTCTTTAATGTACACCTGGGAAAGACAACTGTAATCTGGATTTGTACATACAAATATAATGCAATTTAATTATGAGAGCAATTTAAAGCTACTAGAAACATGATGGGTAGTTGAGAAGTTGTTTTGTCTTTTTTTTAATAGGGTTTCCTATTCTTTCAAAGACCGATGTTCTAGCATTCAGGAGGGCTTTGTTAATGATAAAGGTGGCTCAGCAATCTCATCCAACCTGGTAGAGCTGGACAGGAGATTACGTTTTATAAAAACAGATTATGATGACTTCAGAGGATAATCTATTTTCCCCTTATTACTCAGAAGAATGAAAAAGGATGAATTTTCCTTAAAAACAATGCAAAACAAAAATTAGCTATTTTGATATCTGAACAAAAACAAAATGTTTTGTATTTTTTTGAGAATAAGATTCAGGTTCCTTCCATATTAAAATCTTTTAATGAAGATATTACATGAACAAGGAACCCTAATGGCAAGATCCATGGTTCTTCCCACACTACAATCATTTAACTCCATGATATACAAGAGAACTAGCAGAAAGGAAAGGGAGAACCTACATAAATCTGGTGTTCTCATTATAAAAACTGACCCTAACACGTTAAAATGAAAATTCTGTTCCAAAAATGACAGTAGATAAACTCCCTGCTTGGCTTTTCCTCTCCCATTCTTGAAATGATTATGGAAACCAATAAACTAAAGCATCTTCCTAGACACAACTTCCTTTACTGGAAACGTAAGAAAAAGAGGTCCAAGCCAAGTCTACATTGGTCTGTGAAGTTGCTCTGTGCACTTACTTCCTATTTCTGGCAAACTTATTTTGGGGGAACTAAATACATTTTATCTTATAATAGATGTGAATCCAACAACTACACAAAATATAGCTGTGCAATTTCCAAGGAGAACTGTCTGCTAAATTCTTCTGTTCAGAAATTCATAAATAAAATTTGGTCATATCAGTAATTTAATTCTGATCTGGTGATGTAGCATGTTTGTATTTCTGGAAAAAATCTAATTGACTGACATCTTGGTATTCTTTAGGGTTAATTAAATAAGCAATGTGGAAAAGCAGCCAATATGCTAGAAGGTATAATTTTTCTGTAGGATTAAATTTCAAAATGCAGCGATTTCACACTTGAACTGACCAGTTAAGTCAAGAGGGTCAGATAAGTTGATGGCGCCTGTGTTAACCCTCCTGTCTCTTCAAAAGATTTAAAAATTGGATCATGACTGGATTGACTTTGTAATTTATGATCTGCTAGGCTAAAGCTGTAGAATTAATTCAAGAATTCTACATTACCGAGTACATAAAGATAAAGATGTTGGTTTTAAATGTGATTTTTGCATAAGTTTACTTACCGCCATATAAGCATTTGTTCCAACATACGTCTTGGCTAAAGAATTCACCAGCTATGAGACAAAACAGTCTGTTAGAACAATATAAAGATAATGTGGAAATAAAATGGGCAATTATTCCTCATTTAACCTACAATCATCATTTCTATAAATCAACTAAAAATTATGGAAAAGAGAACAAATTTATCTACAAAGGCATTAAAAACGATTAAATCTCTGTTTTCTTTTGAATGTGATTTCCAATTTAAACAAACACAGCATTACAGTTTATAGCAGATAACCTTAAACAATTCACTTAAGCGGGATGCTTTTTGCTTTAGTACCCCACACCCGCGTGATATAAAACGTCAATTTGAAGTAGAATTTGAACACACTCATTTTTAGTCAGATGGCTCAAGATGCGCATGGAGCCCTGTGCATCACCAGAATGAAATGAACACTAAATACGCTGGAGGGATAACAGACTTTGACAACTCATAATACGATGGTGACCTTCACTTTGGTCTTCATGTTTGGCTGGGAGTAAAGGTGGCTGCAATTCAAATCAACATCACAGCACGCTCATGGGTCACTATCACCGGGGTTCTCAGGGGAGGCCCAAAATGGAAATTAATTAAAATTTGTGCTGCACATTGTAATGGCCCTCCACCATTGTTGCTCCCAATATTAATTTTTATTGTGGGCCAGTTGGGCTCCCCAGGCACAGCTCCCACTCTGCCCTCCCTTTTGTCTGGCCAGAACGCTCTTATATCAAAGCTGCATATCAATGAAGTTTGCTATTCGTAAGTAGTAATTACAATATCAGCAGTTTTTACTGTCATTAAACAATGAACAATCATATTCTGATGAAGGAAACTCGCTCAGAGATTAAAAATGAATAACACACTCCCAGCCGAGGATAAGATGCGCAGTTTCTGTTTGTCTGGAAGCAAGGTGATTTTTGAACCCAGAGAGGGGACTGGAGATAAAAGTGGATGTTGCAGACAGGACGGCACACTGGGAGGAAGAGACCTACCTGAGTGCTTACACCAAAATCACACAGCTTGACTTGTCCTCTCGTGTTTACGAGCATATTGGAGGGCTTCACATCTAAAAAGGAAACAGAGAAGCCCACGTGACTCATTCCATATCGAAGGTGCTTGTTTTTAAGAGCACACATGCACATATTGGGATCATAAATTTCTAGAGAAGCAAGGGTTTATTTCAAGTGAAAGGTAAATCAAAGCTCAGTTTCCAGTGACAGTAAATACATCCATCATCCTCATCGTAGCATTTCAGGAAAAGTAGAAAGGTAAGAGAATGGAATCTTGCAAAGGATTTGCACAAAATGAACTAGCTTTTCTCTGTATATGTAACCAACAAGCTACCTACCCTATCTATGAGGTAGTAAAGCCAAAAAGAGGACAAGGCAAAAAACCACGCACGTGATGCAGATAACAGGTCACATCTGAGTGAGACAATGAGAAAATGAACACACTATTGCCACTTCCCATATCTTATGTGACAAATGCTATTTCAGATAATGCTCAGAAACTGACCTAAAAGATGTTTATGTGTGCGCATGCACGCACTCATCAGTCTTGGTTTCATTTATCCTTCTCTTCCATGACATCATTTTTGACTGTGGTTATAGTTAACAAAAGAATTGACATAGCGTTTGCCAAAGCAGTCAGTTGGTAAATAATGACACAAAAGGCTTCTGTCAAACATCGTCAGTGACAACAATGAGCCTTTTCTGGAATTCAGGGAGGCCACAAAAACCATCCAAGCAAGACAGGAGCACACTACCTTTTTAGATGGTAGACAGCAGCACCTGCTTAACATTTCATCTTTAATGGCAAAAATGGTCTAGGACAGACAACTGGCTATATTTAATACAGCATATAATCTTAACTACCCCAAGTATGAATAAGCGACTCATAATTGTTTATGTAATATTTTATTTTATTTTTTTTTGCTGTACTGGGGATCGAACTCAGGACCTTGCACTTGCCAGGCAGGCACAGTGTCACTGAGCTAAACGCCTGGCCCTATGTAATATTTTAAAAAATAATCTGCAGATAAGTCTCCCAACCCTCTACCATGCAAACAGATACCGTAACAATCCACTCTACCAAGGGTTGGTGTTTAATTTAAATCGCAAGTTGGAACTCAGTAACTGACAACTATGGAGCTCCATTTACTGTGTGACAGGCAACAGGTCATGTACTTTCTCAAACATCAGCTGATTTAGCGTTGATTGACTGACATTAGGACATAAAGTCCAAGAAGGCAGGAACTTTGCCCCTTTTACTGGCGGCTGTTATCTTGATCCCCTAGAAGAGCAGCAGGCATACATTCAGTTAGTGCTCAATTAACACTTGCTGAATGAGTGAGTGACTAAATGAACGGAAAGAGTGAGCATGCAGCGTTATTTTATGTTGATGACTGTGGTTCAGGGATGAGGGCTTAACTGTAGATCATCTCTGCGGCCCGTCCGGTAAGACACACTATAACCTCGACACCGGTGTTCTCTTTAAATACAAGTCAGATGCACAGCCACGCATAAATTCTCTCCCCAACTGCTCTCTCAACCTCCAGTGTTTCCTGATTTCAATATAACTCTTACACCATCAATCATGACATTAAATCTTAAATATACCACTTTCACTGCATCACTTCTCTCCTAGAAGAAATTAAATATTTCTGGGCATGCTCTCCATCCTTAATAATATGGTTGTGCTTTCAAAAGTACCCCAGCCATAAGCATAACACATCATAGACAGCCAGAGCAGACACTTAATAAATAACTATTTGTCAGCTGGGCATGATGGAACATGTCTGTTATCCCAGTTCTCTGGGAGACTGAGGCAGGAGGATCATATGTTTGAGCTCAGCCTGGGAAACCTTGTCTCAAAATTAAAAAAAAAAAAAAAGTTTGCCAAACCAAAACAAATCTTACATTGTACCTAGCCTGGTCCTATTTTCCAAATCTAATTCTCATTATAGGCCTTCAACCTTGAATATTTTTCTTTTGGACAATTTGTTCTCTTAGATGTTAATACCTTCAACTACTCTTAAGCTACCACATCAGATAGAGACAGTTCATGAACGCACACTCTCAGCTCTGAGAAGAGCTACCTGCAAACCACAAGGCACACTAACAGCAAATATTTACCTTTATCTGGACACACCTTTGATCAAAGGGATTGGGAGAAGAGAAAAAGAATAAAAAACAAAACTGCTAGACCGTATTCCAAAAGGCATGATGTATGTAAGACCCTGACGGTGTCTTCCGGCTCCCCACAGCACCTTTGTGAAGGAAGCCTACTGAATGCCTTCTACACAGTTAGCCTAGTTTACAAGAGCACTGTATGTCTAAAAGTATTGGACATCCAACGATCCTCAAAGTAACTTCTGCATCCCAACTACACAGTTTTCATCACTGTGGTGAAGTAAAATACCCAGTGTTCATCCTGTTGGTGGCTCTCCCTCCCAGCTGCAGATTTAGAGACCCTCTCTATGTTTTCTCGTGACCTGAATCCTGCTCACACTTCCACTCAAGCACCTGCCTCCCTGCTGCCCCAACTTCTCAGGCCACCAAAGCCCCAGCTTCCTGTGAATTGCGGTGGGATCACTGACTGTACCATTTATCTGCAACTGAGCATGTAACACTTCACTAGACGTTTGCTCTGTATCAGGTATCATCACTCCAGGAAGCCAGTTCACAGGGTAGGGACCCCCACGCATCTCTGTAAGAATTCCTTCCAATATCTTGCTCACTGGTTGTTCCTTTTAAATAATATTAAATTTGCTAATATAAATATCCCTCTCACAGTAATATCTGGAGGCATAATTTGAATATAACAAGTATCTCTAAACAAAGTCAGTGAATTCACCCTAGGAGACAGAAGATCCAGACTTTAGTCTTTGTGACCCTACCCCAAACCTGACATGGGATTTTGCACTCAACACGAGATGCTTTAGTTTCCACCTCTGCAGGGAGATAAAGTTACTGAGTTTGTCTGAAGGAGCGGTGAGAATCAGATGAGACAGTGAATGTTAACATTGCTTTGTGACTGTCAAACACTCTATAAATGTAAGATATTAAGAACTGGTAATCAGCCATGCTGCAAAAAGTGATATATCTCATTATATTTAGGAAGTAAATTTTATTGCTATTGTAGTGATTTAAGCTGAATTTGAGTAAAATATTAGCTGGAAGAAAGTAATTTCCAAAGCCCACTCAAAAGAACTGTAAAACCAATTTAATACATATGAGGGAAACTTATGCCAGACCATGAGACTTGTTCCTCTACAAGGCTACTGAACACGTGCTTTGCTAAAGTCTGTGTTTGACACAGCAGTTAAGGCGAACCTTTAAAACTAAGTCAGACTCTGTCTCTCCTCTCCAAACACTCCCTAGAGCTTCCCAATGCAGTGCAGACTGTGACCCCCACCCTCCACAATGGTCCGTGGCGCCTGGTGTGAGCTTCCCCTGCCTCTACACTCTTAGCCTTATATCCCCTCCCTGCCTGCCGAGCACCCTGAGGGCCTCCTTGCCCAGCATGCTCCGGGGCCTCTGCTCCCCAACACATCTTGGCTTCCTCCTTCACTTCCTTCACACTTCTGCTCACAAGTTACTTCGTTAAGGGAGGCCGCCTTCCAATCAGCCACTATGAAATAGCAACGTCGCCCCAGCTCACACGTTCCCTTCCCTTTCCCCCTGGCTTACTGCTTTTCCTAACATTTAGCATCGCCAATACTGGATATCTCTACATGTGGATCTATTCATTCCGGTCCTTCCCTCTTGAAGAGAGGCTCCGTGAATATACGCTTGATCTGTCTAGATATAGAATGGTGTCTGGTATGTGCAAGAAATGGTACCTGTAGAACAAATAAATGGTAATGAATACTAAGAGATGGGCTACTGTGCTTACCCAGAACAAGCATGAATTTGGTCTAAGATGGAACTGTGTCTTCGCCGAATGATAGAATATACTTCGAGATGAACATATTTCTAAATGCTACCCTTCATTCTGAGAATACATTTTCATTCACCAAATATTTAGTGATGCTTCACCAAACACCAGATGTGGTACTAGGTGCTGTGAGGAGATACATGAAGAAACACCTGTCTCTGGCCTCAGAAGCATCCAACCAAGGAGCTGATTGTAAATTGGGGTGGTGGAGCACTCCTGTAATCCTAAGGCTCTGGGAAAAAGGACACCTGGGATGTAGGTCGGTGTGAAGGCCAGGGTTCAATCCCTAGTAACACACACCCCAAGGGAAGAAAAGGTACAGTCTCTGAACAAAAATGCTGCTTATGAGATTTTAGGATAACCATGTGCTCTGTTATTTTCCTTTTGAACAACTGGCATGCTTTTTATAAGGACAATGACAATTACACAACATTTAGTTAGCTCTCAAGGCTGATGGTGCATTTCAAACATCAAGTTTCCCAGCCTATAATCCAGTACTGAGAGGCTGAGGCAGGCGGACTGCAAGTTCAAAACTTGTGTAAGTAAAAGCAGCAAATAAATGTATGAAAAAATGTTCAACGTCATTGGTCATTCGAGAGATGCAGATGAAAACAACACAGATTCCACCTTGGCCCAGAGAATGGCTGCTATCAAGAAATCAACCAATAACAAATGCTGGAGGGCTTGTGAGGAGAAAGGAACCCTTCTCCATTGTTGGTGGGAGTGCAGACTGGTGCAAACACTGTGGAAATCAATATGGAGATACCTCAAAGAACTAGGATTAGAGGTTCCATTTGACCCAGTCATCCCTCTGCTGGGTATCCTTCCAAAAGAATTAAAAGAATCGTACCTCAGTGATATACACGCACCTATATTTATAGTGGCACAATTTGTAATAGCTAAAACTTGGGAACAGCCCATTTGCCCATCAGTTGGAGACTGAATAAAGAAGATGTGGATTTTCTATAAAATGGAATAACTACTCAGCCATAAAGAATGAGAAACTAGAGTCATTTATAGGAAAATGGATGCATATTGAGGGCATACTCTTAAGTGAAATAAATAGGACACATGTGTAACTACTGAATAGTTTCTGTGGTGTGAAAAATTAAAAGTGTAAATAAGGTT